CAATATTACAAGGTAATACAAATTGAGAAAAATTAATAAATAATAAAATATATTCATGGCTTTATTTCATTTTGTATTTAGAGACTGAGTAAAAAAGTAAAATCTTTTCCTAAACAAATTAATGTCAGAATTTTAATCTTTGAAGAACTTTGTTCTCTGCAGTGGTTTTTCATTGTAACTATATTTTGACATTCGGTCTGACAGTGGTTGCAAACCTGTCATGTGTTATGTTGTGTCATGTCTCATTTTAGAAAAGGGGTTATATTGTAAAAAAAAATAAAATGTAGTAGTTTGAACTGGTTGTTTTTTTATTTTTTTTTAAATCATTCAGAACTTAATATGACTTATGATATATAAAGCTTGGCATAGAACATGGATACACATACAGTCCCTTCAGTTGTATTTAACAAAACAAAGTAAATCTTATATTTTTCAAGAATAAATAACAACTTCAAACTCTTATTATTACATAAAACCACCACTCCTTCGTTTGATGAAAGCTTAATAATATGATAAAAGAAATGAGACACCTTGTTTTTCTGAGTATAGAAATATAAAAAGAAATGCACTTTTAGTCTCTTACAGAAATGTCAAGTTACTTTATATAACATGTGTAAATATATATGCAATAACAGTTATGGTCAATGCCAAGAGTATCAGGATATATTCTGAGTGTGACAGATACTAAGTATTTGTCAACTTAAAACCCAATCCCCAATCATGTATATCAAATAACTAAATATTGCAAAACATGCTATACACACATGATAAAATTGAAATGCCAATATACTGTAAAAAACTGAAAATAGCTTTTTGACTAATTATATGTAATTTAAGGGGATAGTAATGCATGTACTCAAATTGAAAAAACAATCACAACATAAAACAGAGCCATGGGGTGTGATAATTAATTATATAATGAGTATAAAAAGCTTTTTTAATTCTAATTTGTACCACCAGAGACATATAAAACCATCTGTGGTAACATATACTGAAAAATATGTAATAATGACGAGTTAAAAAAATACCATGTTGACCTTTTGTATAAATCCTCATCAAAGACAAATGCAGGTACATGTACAATGTACATGCAGCTTAACAATTGTAAAAATAGAATGAACTAAAATTCATAAATAGAGATTAATTTAGGTAAACTGGATGCAGATTGATCAACCATCTATGGAACAAGTAATGAATGACTGCTAGAAGATGAATAGGGAATGAGCACAAACAATATTATATTATGATGTGATATCATCTTCATTCTTTTGAAATTACATCTGTAATCTACAAAAAAGGATCTGACTCTGACATTCAAAATATTTTTACTCTGTCTTTTATCTATGATATATCAGATCTTAGGATGTTTACACTGAAGTCATGTCATTCAGGACAAAAACAATAATTTACACCTGGACTTCCCAAAAAATAATGCACTTCTTTAGGGATGTTATTGGGAGGTTTATGTACATTTTCTTATATGTATAATGTGCTGAATTCAGAATATCTTAGTGACTTATAAGAATGTAGAACAATTTTTGTTCATTTTTTGTAATTTTGTTACAAATTGTGTACTGGAAAGACATCATTGAGACATGAAAAAGGGAAATAAATCACGAAAAAAAATAATAGACTTTGTTAATTTCAATGACATGTTGACTGTCTTTTCCTTAGTGGCAAGTTTGTCATATTTTTGAGCTGTTTTGGTCAAGAGCAGAGAAGTTTCAAGAAAAATAAAATAGGGGACTCCCTGTATGGCCTTACCAAATTGTGATGTGCACTAAATTTGTGCTCGTATGTAAACAACGAATGGTAACGTCATGTGACCATTCCACTTCTGTTCTTTTTGTTCCAGTTTATCAAAATTAACCATTCATATTTCTTTTCCCTAGGTAAAACATGCATGTGTCAATTCGTCCGGAGCTGAAAATTTGGCAATGACAGTCGAAATTGAAAAATGGCGGTATCGAAGACTGAAAATTAATGACTTGAAGTTTTTTTTCAACGATACTTTTGTTTGACTTCTTATATTTTTCAAATACTTTTAAAGCTTATGATATCATGTATACCGCTCATGATACGTACGGTTTCTTCAAATTACACAAAATTCACGATTTCCTACAGGGTCGTCTTCCGTGGGGATTTTTTTTTCTGCGCAGCGACACCTGTTGACGGCTTTCTCAGAAATTATCTCCATGTGATTCTTGAATAATAAATCCGGGGTTTTAACGGACAAATCAGGGATTTGCTGTCCGGCTGTTTTGTCGTATAGTTTAGTTCCCAACCGATTCTCATTGGCAATTGGTAGATGCAGGTTAAGGTATGACACAAGCTTAACTATATCAGTTGACTATTTTATATCCAGTTCGATGGGATAGATGCGTTCAAAAATCACCAAATTTAGTAGCTGCAAATGCTGCAAGGAAAGGTACAAAGCACCATCCTTGCTAAAACTATAGACAATAAATGTATTGCACCGATTTTTTTTTAATATACACAGATGATAACTAACAAAAAAAATATGGTTCACGAAAACATTCAAGCGGATTATAATTTAAAACATGTAAGTGTTCGCTTGATTCTGCATGATTTTGCAGTATGAATAAAATTACATAATATTTACTTCATGATTATATGATTATATAATTTATATTATTAAAGCATTCTATCGTTATTCCATTGTTTGATTATAGTTCTACAAGGAAATTGTTTTCAACACATGCAGACATGGTTTTATTTCACTACAAATAATGCATTGTTAAATCTGTAATAAACGTAAAGGGACTATTTTAGAAATATATATAAGACATTGCAAAGAAGTTATCCTTATTTTGTATTTCACAATATCTCTTCCCACTTAAAGTTTAACCCATTAACTGTTCATAAAGGCTTGCCCGCCACAATCTGTATGTACCTGTCCCAAGTCAGGAGTCTGTAATTCAGTGGTTGTCGTTTGTTGCTGTATTTGATGTTTGTTTGGTTCTTTTTTTCGTTTATTGTTTTGTACATAAATCAGGCCGTTAGTTTTCTCGTTGAATTGTTTTACATTGTCTTTTCGAGGACTTTTATAGCTTACTATGCGGTATGGGTTTTGCACATTGTTGAATGTTGTACGGTGAACTATATATATATATATTGGTTAACATCTTTCCCATTTGCTCTCTGGTGTAGAGTTGTCTCAATCATACAACATATTCTAATTTTCATATTGAAAGAGTTTTACATAGGACAATACTAGTCGTCAAGAAAACAGATTTTCGTTGGTAAGAGAAGCATTTACGCTAGATAACCGTGCATTTCATTTTCAGTTGTATTTACCAAATGTTTTCTCATCTTTGAAACTACTGGGAAAATGGATCTAAACTTAGCCAAAATCATCCTTGGTGAATTTAAATTCAAAAACATGTCCAAAGATCCTGTCCGCTAACCAACATGGCTGACATGGCTAAAAATAGATAAAGGTTTAAAATGTCATTTGTGTTTATTATCTAGAAAACCGCCATAGATTTGAAAAAAATCTGATGGGCAGAAATGTTCAAAATGTTGAAACCTTCATACTGTCCATCTAGATCACATCTGTTTGGCGACTTTTTATAGGAGTGATTGTTGTTAAATGAAAAAATTTACCAATTATTTCAATTTTTGCCTATTACCTTTAAAACTATAACAGATGAAGAAAACTTTCAGAGCAAACCTGATCAGCAAGACAAGATCTACAAATAATCTGACATTACCGAAATCGTCCGTCATCTCCTTATTGGACTTTTTTGTCCTAAAAATAACGATTTGCACATTTTTTTGGCGTTTTTGTCTTGAAATCTTTTATGCGTTGAAAAGATTTTTAAACATGAAACAGCAAAATCAGTAAGATAATATCTACAAATAAGTCAATAACCGCTATTGTGACTCCTTATAGAAGACATTGCCTTTAAATGACATTTTTAAGTAATGTTTTGCGTGTTTGCCTTTTGTTTTGAAAAGTATAATAAATAGTAATTTGAATAGCGAAATGATCAGCAAAATTAGATATACAAATAAATCATTATGGCCGAAATTTTTAATCAACTCGTAATAGTTATTGCCCTTTTAATGATGATTTCTATCGTAACTTTTTTTGCGTTTTTGCCTTTTATCCTGAAATCTGGTATAAATAGATATACTTTTAAAAACAAAGTTGATCAGCAATACAAGATCTGCAAACAGGTCAGCAGAGATAAAGTTGTCAGTTGTCCTTTTTAGGAGTAATTGCCCTTAAATGACGATTTTTTTTTATAGTTTTACAATTAAATAGCAACTGTCAATTCAGTTATTACCCATTTGTAAAAGTGCATGTAAGATGTTCAAAACCAGATGGCAGAGTTCATGAAAACCTCATATTAACATGTGGTGAATAAAAAAAAAAAAATTCAGCCATCACTTCACTATTTATACTTGATTAGAGGTATAAAAAAAGGTATCCTCGTATCTTAATGGTTAAATGTAAACTTTCACACTTTAACACTTCAAAATGAACCCTCTCTCTTTCTCCCATAAATAGTCATAATATTTTAATAAGCCATTTGTTTAACAAATACGGTCTATTCACTTACCAAATTCTGTTAAAACCCAACTTAAATATACTGATCTTTGAATTACCAGTTTTGTTTTTTTTTAAAACAGAATATGAAAGTAATGCTTTGCAATGGCATTGCCTTTGTTTGAAATACAAAAATAAAGTTGTCACCTATTACATAAGCAGTATAATGATTTTTTGATTTTTTTTTTTTTTTTTTTTTTGATGAATCATCGAACTAAAATAATCTGCATATTTTGGTATTTCTAAAATTTTTAATTTCATTCTTGCATATAATTTGACAAGGAATACGGATTATGTCACACATTTACATTTTAAATCTTATTGTAATAGGAACATGTGTGTAATTGTTTTTTTCCTCTCGATTAGCGATGAGTTAATTGAACAACGTATATAAAGCGCAGACAATTGTCAGCCAGAATACAAGATAATTCACAAAAATCATCTTCTCCTTCTTAACGGTTTGATTTAGAAGCAATGAACAAATTCAGTCTCACAGTTATGCTGGCTTTAGTCCTTATTGGATTATTTGCAGTGCAGAGTGGTAAGTAAAAATTTAATTGATAAAACTTGTTCATTATTTTTTTTTTCTTTAAATATTGTCATTAGTTGTCATACATACTAACTTAACTGTTGAAATATATGTTATGTCGGATTTTTTCAAATAAAGACAGAAACAGCATGCACAAATCTAAGGTATCAGTTTCTTTGTGAGAAGGTTTAGTCATGCTCACACTCTTGAAAAAATTAAACTAAGTCTCTTTGACATAGCAAGCTGGGCAATTATAACAACAAAAAATAAAAACAAAAAAATGGAGAACTTAATAATATGCTTTCTCAAATTAAGCAACTTTTCACTTACTATTAAGTTTCATTTTTATTGCATTACATTCAAAATGTATTAATTAGTTTTGCTCATTATTAACAATTTGATTGAAATCCAACGAAGGAAATCTGAAAATGTAGGTACAAATAAAATGATTGTTGAAAAAGTTTGATATATTATAGCTCTGCTATTGTTTCCTCCATATAGTTTTTAATCATTCGTTTTGTATAAATTGTAATTTATTTTCACTCTGGTACATGACGAATTCTTAAAGTCATTTTTAAACTATAGCTCATATAAACCATTCTTTTTTTTTTAATTTTCAAGTATCATTTTTTATTTGAAGATAAAATTTTCAGACAGTGATAAAACATAATTTCTTTAAGACTAAATAAACATTAATTATAATTGATAATGCTTTTTTTTTCAGATGCTGGTTATGTAAGTTTTAAAAAAACCTGAAGTTTGATATATAACATAAAAATCACAGAAACAAATTATATTGTAAGACATTCGGAATAACAACTTTATTAAAGCCATATAATTTACGCAAATTCCAATGATGTTTTTTTTTATGAACTTTACACAGTTTCATTTTCTATAACATGTATAATATAATCAATCAACCAATTTTAGTAACGGTTGCAAAGCCTAATTTATATTACGTCATGTCACGTGATAAACATCTAGTTTAGGATTATGTATAGAATAAATCGTATATGATATGGCATTTTTAATATCACTAAACGTACCAACTTTCGACCAATATCATCCCTCTAGCAGATATATATATATATATATATAATATTCTCCATAGATGTACACTATAGACATCAAAATTAAGAGCTAAGAGCCATTCTATACAGCACTATATAGTAACTAATTACGTAGATGAATAGTATCAGTTTTATCTATGTTTCATTGGGTCTATAACACATGTCCAAATATTTTTCGAATGCAATAAATCCTGTACTAAACATGAAGTCGTACAGTGACTTGAAGTCGTTCATATCCTTGATTCTTTTCCTTCGGTCTTGTTTGATAGATGTCTTCGTAATTTTATATTAAGCCTTTTTGTTGTGTACTCAAGAAAAGTTTTGGTCCTAATTCATGATGAAAAATCTCTTCGGCGATTGATAGTTATATCTAAATGTCCTCCAGGGAATATGTTATGATACATTTTTTTACGTCCCCGTTTGATTTTGTCACTACCGTTTAGTTTCGAGTTAATATTTTACATATTGTATATACAGATTTGTAAATTGTAAAGATAGTATTTGACCACTAGATATCCTATTGGTTGCTGTCTCATTCGCGTTTACTTCATCCCGGCTTTAATGTATGCATATTACAAAGCGTAACATCTTTATTAATCTACCAGTCTCAGTATTGAGCAAAGCATAGCATTTTATTACGATTTCGGGTGTAACTAAATTTCATAGCAATATTCTTGTATTACAAAAGAACATTATAACTAAGTAATATTTTATATTAGTAAAAAATACCAGTTTGCAAAATGTGTCGCTTATTCTCCTTTTTGCATATATTAATTTATAAATATTTATCTTTTCACATTTTGGTCATTGATAATTTTAGATCTAACACGTCTTTGATTGGCTGAAAGTGTTTTGTCTGTCAGCTCTTAGACATAATTTTCATGAACGTTTTTTCGTGATTTATTCATTAAAAATGGAATTCAGAATTAAATTATAAGTAATACTTTTTCTGCCTGTTCGAAATAACCTCAAAAATGTGGTGCAGACTTTGAAATAACATGCTTCGCGGGTCATTTAGTGTGCCCCACATTTTTTATGTTATTTCTTCACAGACAGAAAAATATTCATTTTTTGGGTCGGGTCAAAGCACGCGGTACTAAGGGAAAAGAGCAAAGAATGGTCGACTCGGAGTCAGAATAATGTGTCCGGTTAAGGTGACATGTCTTACTGTGGACTGTTACCTTGTGAACTAGCACGTTGAAAATCCGGTTCAGCTTGTCGGTCTAGTACAAAGCAGGGTTAATATTCACTTTACATCAACATGTTCTCGTTCTGATTATGCATATTATTTTGCGTCTGTATGTTAAGCAGCCATCCATTATAATCATCTATTTCATTAATTGGTATTTTAATTGTTAATTTCGATATTTCAGGATTATTATCCAGGATATAATTCACCATGGCCATACAACAATGGTTACTATGGCTATAATGGATACAATGGTTATCACGGACGTTATGGCTGGAATAAAGGCTGGAATAACGGTCCATGGGGAGGATCATATTATGGAAACAAAGGCTATTTGTATTAGAACTGAAACAGGAAAGATATCAATATTGATATGAATAATGAATAAATAAAGCTTAATCTGTGTTTCCTTCTAATTATTTTTTGTTTGTAGCCATCCATCGTTATCGTTGTGTTGCATTGATTTGCACACAGCTTTTTGACACTGTACAGAGAAATATTTCAACCCTTCCTTAATAAAAATGACTTAAATTGTAACTTTTTAAATACAAACGCGAATGTCTTTATTAAATGCATATAAATATTTGAAAAAAGATAACATTTTTTCCAGAAGTATAATTTCCAATTTTTGAGAAAACGAAAAAGTACCTTACATCATTTCGTTATATAACGCCTTATATTAAGTCACTGACGCATAGTGTTAATTGTCAAACTATCGTATTAATTTATCACCATACATGTAAACATTCTTCGTGCCAATAATTAGGGAAAAAATAACATAAAAAATAAAATACTTTGCTATTATATAATACTATTGTGGTTTATAATACGTTTTCATACAAAAATGAAAATCAGAGATACAAAGGAAGAGGTACGATAAGATGATGATGATGATGATGATGATGATGATGATGATGGCTACTTAACGTCCAGCGGCAAATTAATATGCATATTCAGGACGAGAACATGTTAATGTAATATCAAAATTGACTCTGCTTTGTACTAGACCGACACACTGAGTCTGGATTTTAACGTTCTAGTTCACAAGGCAAGTGTCCACAGAAAGACATGTTACCTTACTCGGACACTATTCTGACTCCGAGCCAACCAGTCTTTGCTTTTACTCCTTAATGCCGCGTGCTTAGCGGAGAAGCAGCGAATACCAATTTTAAAGTCTTTGGTTTGACCCGGCCGCGGTTCGAACCACGACTTTCCGCACTTGAGGCGAACATGCTACCATGAGACCACCGAGACGGTCAGGTATAATAATAGTAATGATGAAATAATTTTAAAAAAAACCTTTCCTCTCTTAGAGTAGTTTTGTGTCTTGAACACATCCTTGTTAATGAAGTCCATATAATTCGAACATGGACAAACGTAACTTATTAATAATGATATTGACGCCATAAAATTGGGCTGAGGGTATGTAACTACTTAGAAATAGGAAGTTTACATTTGGAAGGAAATAAGAAATCATATTTCGTTTCATCTCGGTTTCTAGTAAGTGTTCTACAAATAATCTTTGTGTGCTGTTAACTAGTTCCTTTACTTCTATTAAAGAACTTATTTATTTTTGTAATACAGCATATGAAAATAATAGAATTAACTGTGTGTCAACAGTTGTTTGGATGTTTTGGATAAACTACCTGCTTTTAATGGTTCGTTCTATTAGTCGTTTATGTTTTTTTCGACGCTGTACATTACGCTACCACACAATATTATCATACAGATGTTCTCTTATTAAGTAAATAGTTCTTTGATAAATCTGGTTGCAGATGTATTTGCTGCAACTCATATAAAAGCTTCTTCTGTAATGAAAAAGGGAAATATGCTAGATATACATACTGGAATTGTTATGAAATGATAAAAGCTGAAAATTTTCTCCTTGACAATATCTCTGAACGTTCGGCAATATTTTTTTATCAACAGGTTGAAGGTATTCCTATGGGCACAATTGCGTCCCATTTAAGAGCAGACCTGTTCCTGTATTGCTATGAATAATAGTGTATGGCCAAACTCAGTAAAGATTCGTCTTAACTACATTTAATTGATAAATTTAAAAACACTTACCGTTACCTTGATGATAATTCTGCTTTAAATAATCAAGAATTTTTTTTATTTTACAGCTGAAATTTACCCAAAGGGACTTACTTTAAATAAATCTAATACAAACATCAATAAGTGTCCTTTTCTTGATTTTGATATTTCAGTTTCACAAGGGAAATTCTTTACTAAAATGTATGACCACAACGACGATTTTTTGTTCCCGGTTGTTAATTTTCCATTTTTAGACGTTGATTTTCCTTTGGCTCTTTCTTACGATGTGTATTTTTACAACTCGTTCGCTACGACCATGTCTGTAGTCGCGTTTTAGATTTTAATAAACGTAATTTGTATATAACTGTTTATTATGAAGTTAGGGTTTTTTTCCACAAACTGATTAAAACCTTTACCAAATTCTTCCATAGATACAAAGATTTGTGAAATTCATAATACAAAAACGGGATATCACATTCTAATTTTTACGGTTACAATGTTTATAAAGCCGGTAAATTTTGACACGATCCACGTGATCCTTGCTCATATTTATGCATTGCACAAGGTCATTCGTTTCTATGACTGAGTATGACGTCTTTATACTAAATCCGTTGGATGTGTACTGATTGATACTTTAGTCTGGGAGAATTTGATCTATTTATTTGTGTAATTGGATTTGAACTAGCTTCAGTAACTGCGAATACTCTTATTTCGATGCTTTGTGGCGTTTGTTTTTATGTTAGTTGTTTTTTGTGCGTCGTACCGATCTTTTGAGTTAAGCCAATTGCAATTTGTTTTTATGTTGTGTTTTTTTTACACCACTGTCTCGGGTAAGGAGAGGATTGAGCTTTCTTAAACATATTTAACACCGCCTCCGTCTTTATGTGCCTGTTCCGAGTCAGTAGCCTGTAGTACAGTGGTTGTCGTTGTTTTATTTCTGTCATATTTGGTTTTGGTAAATTGTTTTGTGAAAAATTCTTACGTTATTTTTCTCGATAAAAATTGTTTCATATTTTTCATGACAAGGCCATTTATTGCCGACTATATGGTATGGGTTTTTCTCATTGTTGAAGGCCGCATGGGGCCTATAATTTCTAACTTCCAATTAATTTTAACTGTAATTGATAGTTATCTCATAGGCAATCATTTAGATAATTAAAAAATCCTATCACCAATGGACAACAAAAGTAGTGGTAATATTTGACATAATGATGTATTTTATATTATATTTTTAACATAAACAAAATAGTATGTAAATCTCCTTTTTCTTTCGTGTACATTGTAAAAGAGTCGAAAAGGCGTCTTTGTTTTACTAAACAAACAAAAGGCTGTATTTTAGGTTGATTTCCGATATTTAATTGCTCATTCATACCTCTTATTTCATTTTTTTTTTTTTCCAATAGAAGATCAATGCGCACACTAACACGTAAATTAAGTGTGTGCATTACCCATTCACATTTATCTGAAACATTTGCATTTCATTTCAACCTATCGCCTTTATTATCGACACTATCATTACTGATTCGTAACTTATAGAGCAGAATTTCTATTTGAATACAAATAAATCCATTTACTTTTCATCGGTCCTAACTAAGCAGGTTATTAGGTAGATCAATAATTTTAGGGCTTTCATCATACAAACAGACACTTTCGTCTACCTCAACTTCATGATTTTCTAGATTGTTATCGCCTTCTTTTAAGTAAAAACACCAAATACGTTTTACCAAGGGTCCCATGAGGCAGCATAAAAACGACGAAATGCCGAGTATACCAGTATAGTAAAAGGATGCTGAACAGGAACTAGTTGTATCTTCTAACCAACCTGGAAAATTACGTTAAATTAAAAGTGTATGTGTTCGCATTCTATGTAAAAATAGCATCAAATAGATAGTCAGATTGTTTTCAGAAAACAGCAATCGATAAACAATATGTTTAAAATATTTTGCTATCAAATATTTTTTGCTATTGCTACATTAGTTTTACATCACAATCACGAATTGATAAACCGATACGATATGTGTGTCTCAACTCACTAACAACAAATTTTCGCGATCTTGAATGGTTAGATACAATATTAGTCGTCTGATCTGTAAATTTAACGATTGTATCCTATTCCATCCTGCGACTTTATGGCTGAGTGTTGATTCGTATGGCGATCGATGCATTTATAGCAGAAAACGCGTACCTCGGTTTTCATTTTATACCTTAATTTGTATTTTCTAATTGACTTTATAATTGAATAGCGTTTAACTAATGTAGCCTCTAATTCGTTATTCTGTATTAATAAGTACTTGTATACAGAAGGCCTTGTGTTTTACTTATTAATTAGTTGAAAAGTGTCATTTCAACGAAACATTCATTCCAATACCTAGTAAACTACATCTTACTTTATTTCTAATATATATCCATTAACAGTTGAATAATAGATAAAGTATTCGATCAAATTCGCTAGCACAATCTTAAGACTGCATGAGTTGATGTGTGATATATATTTCTGAACAGTTTATTTTTTATTATTCAAGTTTGAGAGTGAACATCTCAACCATTATCAAGTTTTACAAAAGCAAAACGTTTTGTCAGACTGTTTTTACTTAATATGCATCTTCGTGTAGTCTTACTACAAGCTTTCCAATTACGAAATAAAACAAATACAAAACGTATGTCAGACTATGTACAACGTGCTATGCATACATTGTTATGTTTCTTTAAACGCCAATTAATGTTACTTACTACTTATATCATTTTATCTAAATACTAACCGGAAAGCGGTTGACTTATACAAAAAGCAGTAGCAAATACTAGTGACATCAATCCAAAAGCTGGAGAATAATTCTACAGTCCAATACAGTCACACCCCTTAAACTCCAAAATGATCCTGAGAATGCTCCAACAAGTACTGCATATGTGAATACTGCCGGTAGATATGGCAAAAAGGTAAACAGAAAGGTGTCAGACCACTCACTGAAGAACACATCATGAAAAGGTGAACTCGTTTAACAATGTTTTAGTCGGCAAACCATCCTAGGAATGCTCGTGCATCAATTTCAGAAGGACCTACTAATGAAACTGTCACAATTATACTTTCCTTTCCAAATACTAATGCTCTTGTATGTCCTGGTAAAGTTACTTGATTAGATGCAAAATTAGCTACTTGTAGAAACATTGCTATTAGATAAATCGTGAAGTTAGAATTTCGAAAAAGTGATGGTTTAAACATTCTTGTAAGAATTTTATGAAAAAAACTACAAACAATAGTATCTTCTTTGTGTTTCTTTTTCTGATATGGAAAATGAGCTGGTTGTATTAGAAACAAGGAAGCAGCACAGGTGTGAAAATAAATTCCTCCCATAATTAGAAATGTTCCCTTG